ATACAGAACTGAAAAAGGCCATGGAGGAACTGGAAAATGATAAAGTGTACGAAAATTCCGACAAAAAGGGAGGCTCTGAAATTAACCATGTCTGTATTCGATCCGCTTGAATTTGACTACCAGAGGTGCGAGAAATCCAAGCGGATCGAATACAGACATGGTTAATTTCAGAGCCTCCCTTTTTGTCGGAATTTTCGTACATTTTATTATTTCAGGATTCACTTTGTAACAGTTCATAGAGAAAGTAAAGTTGTCGCTTTCTGGATTCCACCATAGCCCTAGTATTCGCTCCAAAGATTTTTTACAAAATGAGTCAAGGTTCTTGTGACTTTTTGCTCGTAAATTTTCTGGAATAGTTGACATAACTCTTTCTGAATTAGAAATCCAATTGCAAATTTGAAAACCACCATTTTTGTGCACCTCGATAACTTCAGAAATCAGTTGAATGGCTTGATCTTCTGTATCCGTTGAGTCAAGGTAGTCGTCGACATAATGTTTCTCAATGATGGCCTTGACTGCTTCAGGATATTCCTTTGCGTGATCTTCCGCATTTTTATTTTTCACGTACTGTGCCATACAAGGTGAGGAGGTCGCTCCAAAAATCATGGCCTTCATCTGATATACATCTGGTTTCTTCTGTCTGTCCATACCTCTCCAGAAGAATCGTTGAGCTGAACAATCTTCATCGAGGATCAATACCTGGTGGAACATTTCCTTAATGTCGCCACAGAAGGCTACTTTCTTTTGTCTGAACTTCCATAAAATGTCTTCACCTTGTAAGATGTTGTCGTTCAAGCTAACTCCTCCAGATTTTGCTGCTGCGTCGAATACTAATCGCAATTTGTCTGGCTTATTGGGATTAATAACGCCAAAATGAGGTAAATACCACGTCTTTGGAGATTCTTGAGCTGCTTCTACAGGACTAAGCTTCTTCACGTAGCCCTTCTTCAGGTATTCCTCAATCTTTTCACAGTATCTAGCAGCGAAGTTTTCATTTTTGTCCATCTTGCGTTCCATGCATTTGAGTCTATTGAAAGCAACACTCTTACTATCGGGTAATTTAGTATCTTCGTTCTTTCATAACAATCCGATTTCAAAACGATTTCCTACCCTCTTGATGGTATTGTCCAATATTTTCATGGCTTTCTCGTCTTCTTTTGATTTTCCATTTTCCTCAAGTAAGTTGGTACCAAAATTATCAATTTTAAAGGAATCTTTCACGAGATTATGTAATTCTAAATCAGAGTCTTGTCTATTATTACAACATAGGTGAAAAATCAGGGATTTGTCTACCAGACTCTTTGAATGGTGATTGGTTCCATGAACAACCCATCCCAAAAGTGTTCTCGATACGAATGGAGAATTCCAAGAAGAACCATGGTAGAATTTTCTGGCAATGGTCAGGGGACATTGGTCTTGACCAATAAGTATCATTGGCTGTGCGTCTTTGTATGATGTAACTGGTGTCATTTTTATATATGGATATGTTTCTGCCAATTTCTCAACATCTACTGATTGTTTTGGCAAAGACAGGCCACTTATGGTTCTAGCTCCAATGATTTTAAATGTTTTGGAAAATTCGTCCATACCAGATATTTCAACAGTTACTCTTCTTGAAGAGTCATCGTTTCGGCTAACTTCATTTAACCATTGATAACACAGTGGCTCCATAGGTCCATCAAGTCCAATTTCATCGGCGATTCTCGATTCGATCAACGTTGTCGTGGCCGCTTCGTCAAACAGAGCATACGTATTGATTTCTCCTCGAGGACCTCTGAGACTCACAGGAATTATTCGAAGTAAAATGTCAATTTCACCTTCCCTGCTAGTATGGTGTATGGCTTCTGCATGAGTATAGTTCGACGTCGATGCCTCTCCTCCATGATCATTATTTGTTCTAGCAACTTCTTCGTTATGCAAACTCGTGTGGTGGAATTTTTCACATAGCTGACACTTTTTCTTCTTTCTGCAGCTGAAAATATTATGGGCAGGTCTCAGACACGAGAAACAAAGTTTTTCTGAAGTTATTGTTTTCCATTTGTCGTTGACTTCTTTTTTCTTGAAAATGACACAGTCTTCAATCTGGTGGTCTTCTTGTTTGCAACAAGAGCACTTTGATTTCCTTTCATAATATGTTTTCTTAGTAGAGAATATGTTCTCCCTCTTCCGTTTTTGCTCGAACTTATCGCTTTCATGAAATCTTTTGTCACTGAATCCCATTTCTATACAAGTAGATGCTGCCAATGCAATATCTCTCAGCCAAGTTGAAAAATCTTTCAGGCTGACATTTGTCTTTGTCATCGATATTTTTGCCCATTCAATTCGTAAAAAAGGAGGAATTTTCACAACAACTTCGTTGAGGAGTTGTGGGTTATTCATGTGTCCTGTACTTTCAAAGATTTCCATTGTCGTTACTAAACTTTCAACGATATTTGAAAATTGCAAGTATGTTTCAAATTTGCCCTCTTTCAGAGGAGCAGCTTTCCTAACTTTTTCTATCAGTGAGGAAATGATGAATTCTGGACGTCCGAAAGTAAATTTCAAAGTTTCTATTATTTTCAGTGCATCTGATGATGCAATCAAGAGGGGTTGAACTGTCTCTTTAGCTCTGCCCTTCAGACATCTTTGTAATCGTACAATATTTTCTTCATCACAAATCTTATAGATATCTGTCGATCTTTTATACTGACTGTAAAATATAGGCCATTCTTCTGGATTGCATCAAAAATTGGCAAATTCGTAGACATTTTGAATCCGGATGCTCCTGGAAGTCCTGGATTGACATGATTTTTTATGATTCCACAAATTTGATCCAAATGGTCAGTATTCATCTGGAATACTGTTGGAGAATTCTTGCTACTTCTACTTTGTGATATGTCTTTGTTCTTATTGGCCATAATTTCATAGGTTTGTTCTTGTTCTGTTGCCTGATAGTCATCAGGAAGGTCTGGAATTTGGCTGACCCAATCAGCAACAGATTTCATCACACCCATCGTTTGGTTATCATTATTTTTATCGATACCTGATATTTCATTTCTTTGTCTTGAGAACAAACTGAGACTACTGCTCTTCTGTGATCTATTTTCTTCCATGTCTAATAACTCAGCTTCTCGTACTTGCTTTTCCATGTCTATCAATTTCAACTTTTCTCTTATTGCTTCATCTAACAAAATTTGTCTTGCCTTTTCCGCTTCAAAAGCAATCTTCTTCCGTTGATAATCGATGCTTGATTTTGACATTCTCGAATTCTTCGATCGTATCGAATGACGAGATGATGCATTCGATATTTTTGTTTCTTCACCACCATTGATTGCAGTATTTCTGGTGCTTTTATCATTATTTCTGAGATCTGATTCCTCAGATTGTCCACGTTGTACATTTGCTGTCGTGATTTGTTCTAAATCTTCTCTTGAATCTGTTTGATTTTCTTGTACATTCATGTTCCTTGACTGACCAAAGTTCCTAGGCCACTCGTAGTTATCGTCTAAATGACTATGTCTACCTGCAGCAAGTCTTCTGCTCATATTTATAGTCAAAATTTCTACTGCGGAGTCTTCCACAGGGCTGGATACTTATATAATCGAAGGACCAATGTAACAGTCGTCAATTTCGTCTTCTAGTCGAGATATATTCAATATTTAATTAGACTTTTTTTGACTGCTCAAGTCAGAATATTTATTATTTTTTCTTATGTCAACATCAAAATCATAATACAAAGTAACCACGATATATAAAACAATCATCATATACAGAATGTATTCTACACTTGGGGTCTAGCAGTTATAATTACTGAGATATAGGGTGTGAGAAATCGAGATTTTCCAAGTTCAAGAATTTTTTGTGTCTAAACCATTCATAATTAGTCAAAACGGCTCACATGTCCCTATCTCAACTTTTGATCAACTATCTACTGACATTTAATTGAAACAAATACAGGGTGGTGCAGAATTCAGAATCTTAATCACCCGGTATATGTCCCAATTAAATATCAGTAGATAGTTAATCGAAAGTTGAGATAGGGACATGTAAGCCGTTTTGACCAATTATGAATAGTTTTGACACAAAAAATTCTTGAACTTGGAAAATCTCGATTTCTCACATCCTATATTTCAGTAATTATAACTGCTAGACCCCAAGTATGATGGGTCGTTGAAATCAGCTCATCAGGGAGAATCTCAAAATGTAATAATATATAGGGTGTTCGATAGAAAAAAGTTTAACTTCAGTGTTTTATGGTTTTTGGAGACACCCTGTATGTTTCGAACTAATTTTAAATGGTAGCCTATGTTGATATGCAACTTCCTAGGGAGGAAGAATTCCAAGAAGATGAGTGGTTAGCCTTCTAGAGATCGAGGCGTTGTATATTTCATCGTTTCGTAACAGTAATTGATTCAAGTATTATAACTTGACGTATGTGAATACAATAATTATTGTATGTTAACAAAAATGAATGGAATGAAATGAAATGAAACCCTATGTATTTTTGAATCCAGATTTTCATAGAGATCCCAAAAATTTAAAAATACATAGGGTTTTATTTTGTGGACGCCATTGCTCAAATGTGGATCTTCCTGTATATCAATTTTTCCTTTCAACTGTGAAAAATTGAAAATGAAAATCGACTCATCTCAGAATATTGCCCAGAAATGGATAGTTTGGCTTAAAGTGGAATTTATAAACTTCTTTAGGAAGGCACTCAATTTCACGGATACACTGTATACAAACACTAAGTGTAATATCTTTTTAAATGCAGCTTTCCATGACGATTCTGAAAATCCAATAATATATAGGGTGTTCCATTTGAAAAAATTGTCGCGGACCTCATAACTCAAACGTCGATCACCCTGTATGTTTGATTTTTCCCTCAAATTGAAAGAACTCGTCGACCTGTCTCAGGATATTTCTAAGAAATGGAAATAATAAAAATGAATTCATTCAGTACTTCACGAAAGCACTGTACATTGCCTGATGATAATACTAAAATACTCGACCTTTTGCAGATTAACAGAAAAGATGGCCAATAACGACGCAGGACGCGGTGGAACAGAATACCAGATGAAAGTTTTTGCACTGATCGCTCTACAGGCGTTTTCATCACGACATCATGAAAAATGGATATTATCAATAGAAAATGAGCTTGCAGGAAAATTCGATGATGTTGTTTTCGAAAGTGAAAATGGCAGAAATGACTATTTGATACAATGTAAACATAAGAGAAACAGATCGTTATTTCCTTGGAAACATCTTCTTCCAAAATATTATAATTCATATAAGGAGTTGATCATTAGTGGTTTATTTAAACCGAAGTTATTGATCTTATGCTCAAATATTGGGCCATCAGATGGTGACTTTTTCGATACGGAACTCATGAAGATTGATATATTTCCAGGAGAAACAAATTCTTTCAAATTCAAGAGCTCGAAAGTTAGAGAGGTTCAAGGAATATTGGAGGCATCCGATAATCATTCAAAAAATTTTTGTGAGAAATTCAGGTTTTTTCATATTGATGATTCAGCAATAGAAGACGGTATTAAAATTAAACTAGAAGACGCACAGCACACTTTTGGGGGAAAGTTTTCTAAACTTGATTTCATGGAGAAAATAGACAAATGTTTCCAGGGAAAACTGGAGAAAAAAAGACGCATCGGAAAATCACACGTTATAGCTTTTTTATACGACTGGAGAAGTCAGGATTACCTAGGGAAACTAGATTCTTTCGGAATAAACTTCAAACAATTATATACCTTTGGGAAACAGAATATGATCAATATTGTTGCAGTCAATGATCATTTCTTGAATTTGCTCAAGATCCATAGAAGCTTGCTAAGAGTTGATAGCCCCACCAATAACGGTCAACTTTATAAAAAAGATCAACTTTTGTTCATCGACCCAAGTGTGGGAAGCAATATTTTGGAGAAAATAATAGTATCTTTCGAACTCCCTGGATACTGCATACTTGTCATTTCCCTCAACAATTCCAATCAATTCCGTATAATTCAATCCCGTTTATATGAGATATTGAATAATGATAAGAAACATTACAAGAAAGTCATCATTTTGTCAAAAGTTCCAATCCAGAATGATGTAATCGAGGATGAAATAAAATTCACTGATCTAACAGAAGCATGTCAAACTACCCTTTTGTCGAAAAGTGTTAATTTTCAAGAAAAAGATTTGCCTATCCACCAGCTCCTTAATAATTCAGTGTCTAACATCGATTTGATTATAGATCAGAAAACTATTATTGACTTGATATATGGTGAACATATCAAAATAGGTGCAGCCATAAGAAACTTAGGTGAAATTGAGCCATATTACATGGAGAGGAAATTTATACTCAGCATTGAAGACAAGACATATGAATTCACAGAACAAGATGTCTGCAATTCCGTTGGTCAACCTGGAAAATTTGTTCTGATTTCGGATGGAGCAGGAATGGGAAAAACTACTATCTTAACTAAACTTGGGTGCTTGATTAAAGATAAATATCCCAGTTCTTTCCTCATAAGAGTAGATCTGAATATGTTCACCAGCATATTCAAAAAATTTCAGAAGGCGGGTATACAATCAATTGATCTGGAAGAGATTCTACGATCCAAAGATAAGAATTATTTGAAAAATAGTTTTGAACAAACATTTTTTTCGAATACGAGAAACATTATCTTGATGATAGATGCTGTAGATGAAATAAGTCCGAACTACACTAGTCTAGTCCAAAATTTTATTCTCAAAACGTCTGAATGTGAGAATATTTTCAAAATATTTGTTACAACTCGTCCTCATCTAACGAGGCAGCTGGAATCAATCCTGAATACTAGATCATACCGATTACTTCCATACTCAACATCAGAACAAACTGATTTCTTAAAAAAATACTGGAGGAAAAACCTTAGAATAGATGATGAAGAAAAACTCAGTAAATGTGAGATTTTCGCAGAAAAATTGATATGCAAATTAGGAGGCTCGATAGGAAACACCTCTTGGAATCTCATAGGCATTCCACTTCAGACCAGAATGATTGCGGAAATATTCCAGGGTTCGGATGATAAGAAAAACGAGTGGATGTGTTGTAAAGATTTTTTACTATCCGAAGAAAAAACCTTAGAATTACCAGATCAGCTTAACGTTACTAAATTGTACGATATGTTTGTAGAAAAAAAAGGGGAAATCTTTATCGAAGATAAATGCAACACCCAAGGAAATGTTACAACAGAGGAAATAGTTTCGAAACACTATGAAGATGCTAAAAATGAGCATCAAAAACTTGCTGCTCGATTGTTACTCAAAGATCGCCAATGTTCATTGATGAATATTTCCAAAATTATTACCAATAGCTCCAAGGAAACTATCATCAGAATGGGAATGTTACAAGAAATTGGAGATGAGTTATTGTTCGTTCATCAAACATTCGCTGAATATTTTTTGGCTAAGGCAATATGGACCCAGTTAAAAGGAATAGAGGAACGCAATGAATATCTGATGTTCCTTATGGAAAACGTGTTTATAAACGGGGAATTTGAAGTAGTCAGAGCTTTTTTAGAAAGCATCCTCGCCAACGAATACCCTTCAATCCCAAAGGAGGTTTTCGAAATTTGCGGTTCCACAGTTGACAATATAAATTGGCATGAATCCAAAAATATAAACCATTTAGCAAAAGAAGGCCGCAAGAATATCTTAAAACTAATTCTAGAGAAGAGTCAAAATAGTAAAGATGTTTTTGAAAACCATATTTTCTCAACAAATAATTACTGGAGAAGTATTTCAAGTAGACTATGGTTGAGGATGATAAATCGGAAGAAAATATTAGAAATCGTTGATGAAACAACAGGAAGAACTATATTGTCGGAAGCCCTCAAATTTCAAGAAATTATAGAGTTTTTACTGGACAAAGGAGCAGATGTGAACCAAAGAGATAAACAGGGTCGTACCATCCTACATTATGCAGCCGGAGCATGCAAAATAGAATTAGTAAAATATCTTGTCAATAGAGGGGCCACAATCAATGTTCCCGACATCGGTGGTGAAACACCTCTTCTCCGGAGTGTGGATATAAATTCCACAGAACTCTTTTTCTATTTCATCGAAAATGGTGCTGATGTAAATGCCAAATCTGGCGAAACCACTCCTCTACACTGTGCTGTGATAAAACAAAATTTCGAAATTGTCGAAGAACTGTTGAAGAGGGGTGCCAATATCCACGATAAAAATGATGAAGGAGGGACTGCTTTGCACTGGGCAGCATTCAAGGGCACTGTCAAGATACTGAATAATTTGTTGGAAAAAGGAGCCAAAGTAAATGATCAGGATATCTACGGGGATACCCCTCTTCATTGGGCAGCAGAACAGGGTCATTTGGATTGTTTGAAAATCTTAGTGGATAGTGGAGGTGATGTTGATATTCAGAATAAAAAAGGACAGAATATATTAGATATTGCTTTCTCTTTTAAACGAGATGAAATAATAAGATATCTACATGATAGGCCAATTATTGAGAAATTGAGAAAAAAGTACGGAATTTTTATTGAATGAAGTATATTATGATATCGATTCTGAAGTTATTTTTGTATAACAGGGTGCTTTCGAAACGGATACATTGAATTTGAAACTAAGAAGGCTCAAGTCGTACTATCGAATGGCACAATTGAAGAACATAACCCTAATAGCACACAACGTCCTAGGAACATCCCTATTTGGTACGATTGTCCCAAACCAAAAATAAGTGTCCTTGGGACGTCCCATCCCGTACATCTCATGCAATTTCCGAGCAAGGACATCCACGGAATGTCCCAGCTGGAACATCATTTCAATTGTCCTAGAAATAGCATCCCTTAGACCACGTGGTACATATTGTAGAATGTCCATGCAAGGACGTCCTTGGCATGTCCCTGATGGGATATGATTTTGAACGTTTCTTTAGGGACATCCATCGGATGTCCCGAGTAGTACATATTCTGGCATGACTTCAGATCTTTTATAATGTCCCTCCTAAACAAACATGAAATATCCCTGATGGTACATTCCTTCAAATATCTCTGCACAGACGCACTTAATATTTCCAGGATCGTATAACAATCGGAATGTCCCTTAGGTACATCCTTCGAATGTCCCTTAGGGATATCCGTCGGATGTCCCAATTGGTACATGAACTGTACTCTACCAATATCCTAGAAATAACGTCCTATGGACGTTTCTGTCGGTACTTTCAAAATGTTGTCCCTGCGAGGACGTTAACTTACGCCTCGCCGACGAATGATTGCTCGTAGGTTATAAGTACTCCCCGTCGATGTCCTTCACGTAAGTTCATTGGACATCCTTGGGAAACTTTTTGGGGACCTTCTACGGACCATCAACTCAACTGGATGTCCTAATCAGTTATGCAAGATCTGGTCCTAGAGGGACCCCGAAAAATTCAAATTCAAGAATAATTCGTACGTCCCTGGGACATCCTATGGACATCCAATTGATATCCCTCAGCGTTGCTGATAGGTTGTCCTATGGATGTCCTAAGGATGTCCTCTGAAGTGCTTGATGAGGAATACTGTAAGATTTAGGTATTCGATAGTTGTCCCAGGGACATCCCTCAAGGACGTCCCTAGTTGGTCCTCAAGTGGGACATTTGTGCGTCCCACAGACGTCCAATGGACGTTCACGGTACCAAATTCGAACGTCCTATGGACGTCCTGAATGTCCCGACAGGACGTCCTAAGGATATCCATGGGACATAAGTGTGTTATTAGGGAATACCACCTAAACAATGAGAAACAATGATAATGATATTAATGGTTTTTTGAAGAGAGTCGAATGAAACAGAACCATGTTTCCGTTGAAAGAAGCTGTATTTTGTAGGCGCATCTCGATTTTTTTTGGCACATAATCATCACACTAATCGGTAAAATGGCTGTTGTTTATATTTTCCATACACTAGTATCATTTATTTTGCGTGTTTTTGTTTGCACTCCATATTGATGATTATTTTCTTCGTATGATTTCAAACCAATCAGAACGTTCAATTGAGTCAAAAGCTACCTTGTATAATTTCGAATAATATACTCCACCAATTAGAAATCTAGAAGTATTTTCATAGTAACCAATTCATATTGTTACATACAAAGGAAGCGCGTCGTAAAATGTTGACGTTCGTTCAGAACTACTCAAAAAATGATCGCATCCTATACCTACAATTCGAACTTCAAACTATTCAAGGTTATACATCTCACACTTCCTGCATAATTACAAATCGTTTCAGTTCAACAAATTGATCCTCATGCTTCGCTGTCGAATTCTTCCAACTGTCAAACTGACATTCTTCGTAATTATGCGAAAAGTTATCGATGTTCAACCCGAATATTTTTTAGTATTTATAGTATTACTACTGAATATATTTCTCTTGTTAATTATTCGTAAGAGATCTTCATGGTTGGAATGATGAAGAAAAAAATTACAATTTTCATGATGTGGAAAATAACAGGAAGTTAGTAGAAAAATTTACTATCTAGGTGAATCTTCAAGTAATTTCGACGCCGACGGCACGAAAGCATTAGGTTATTGTGTGAGTTCCAGCAACTTTGGCAAACTCTGATATTCACTGATGATTTGTTCTTCATATTCGTATGAATTACGTAGTTACTAGGTATTCATAATGATGATAATAATATAATAATATCTTTATTGCTGTGAAAATCTATAAAGACAATAGCAACGTCAAAAAATGTCACCACTAATAAAATGAAATGGAACGACATTAAGGACCGAGTTAAGAACAAACAGAAAAATATAGCAGCAGACAAGAATTACTTCCAACAATTAAAATCATAATAATATTTTCCTTTTAGAAAACAAATGACTGAACTCCTGAATAAAGCTAGATTTTTTTATTTTTTCAATTTCTGATGGTGATTTGTTGAAGGCCTTTATTTGCTCTGTAATGTGTATTTTTTTGGAAAACAGCAGTTCTTTCACAAATACTACCAATGATAGATAATACAATGAGGGAACAGTGAGCAAAAAAAGACCTACATGAGGTACCATATTCAAATCCAAGAATGCACCTCAGGATAGGACTTTGTAATATAAATATATATAATAATAATAATAATAATAATAATAATAATAATAATAATAATATATCGTCTTTATTATTCCCATACATAAAATAAACATCAATCTCATCTTATAAATACTATAAGTGGAAATAAAGGGCGAAGTTCTTTTCCTGTAAATCAATGATTTCCAGATAATGCTCTTCCACTTAACCCTCGAAAATAGAGAATATATGAATGAAGATCTATAGGTAGATATAAACATGAAATAAATGTTAATCCAACAATTCAAACCGTGCTTTATTTCAAAACATGTCATTTCACTAGATAATTTTTATTCTGTTTCTTGCAAGATCAGATATTTGTTTTATTAAATCTGGGTGTTGAACAAATAGTTTTTTGTTGTTAATTTGAATTTGTTCGAATTCGGAGCTTTAAATGTTTCTGCTAAAGAGTTGTACATGCTGAAAATTTGATATTTGAACGACCGTCTTTATAGTTCTGTTCTGAATGTAGATATTGTGAGCATTTCTTTACGTCTAATATTCAAATTGTGTACATCAGTGCGATTTGTTATTCTCTGGTGAAGATAAGGCGGTGTTTCTGTTTTAATGATATTATGGAATAGACACAATGCGTGATGTTTCCTTCTATTTTCCATATGTAACCAACCGATTTCCCGAAGTAAACACGAATTTTGCACTTTCTGAATCTTTTTTTTGTAGTATGTAGTTATATTCGGGCTATAAAGAACATCGGCATAATTGAATACAGACAGGATGATTGATTCACATAAGGATTTCTTCACGTGAAATGGAAGAAAGTTTCGGTTACCATGAATTATTTTGAGAGTAGCGTAGGCTCGTTGGATTAATCGTATTACATACTATTCAAATCTCAAATTTATATCCATAAGTACACCTAGACTTTTTGCTTCATCTACTATTGTTAGAGAGTTTCCAAGGACATGTATATATCTATAGATTTACCAACCGCTTCTCGATGTTTTTTTGGACCAAATATTAGAACATTTGACTTATCTGAATTAATACATAGACAATGATCAGTAGCTGCCGTCACGAATCTATTCAAATCTGCATTGATAAGTTCACCTGCATTAGCAGTCATTTCAACCGGAAAACTGTAGTACAACTGGGTATCATCAGCATATAAATAGGACTGACAATGTTGAAGCTTCAACAGCAGTTGAGATGTATAAACGGAAAAGAGTAGAGGTCCAAGCGATTATCTATACAAACTTTTTGTTGCCTACCTTTCAAGTACTAACTTAGCAATACTAGAGCATCAGAGAAAGAACCAAAATATTTCAAGATAACTATCATTAAATCATGATTAATTGTATCAAAAGCTCGACTGGAATCTTACAAAATCAGTAATGTACATTTTTTCCGATCTGTCGCTTCTATTATGTCATCGGCCATATGTAGGAGTGCGCTTGTGCAACTATACCCTTTCCGGAATCCCGACTGGCAATCTGGTATCAAGGAAAATCGCAGTGCATATAGGCTTTTATTTGTAATTCCAAGGATTTTCGAGAGGGTGGGTAGAATACTGATGCCTCTCAAATCCTTCATTTCTGTTGGATTTCGTTTCTTTGGTAATTCCGGAACGGCCGCTCTCCTCGACATCTCCGGAAAAACATTTTCCGTTAAGCATACGTTTATAATGTGCGTAATGTATGGTACAATGTGAGGACAACAAAGTTTGATAAGTTTCACATTTATACCATCACAACCCTTTGCATTGGTTTTGATTTCAGAAATAGTTTTGTATACAGATAAATAATTTACTACTTCAAAATTGAAATTTTCTTCATTAACAGAATTGGTATCATAAAAGTTTAGAAGATTCTCCGTTGGTTCTTTATATGGAATTGACTGTATGAAAAATCTATTCAATTCATCAGGATTCTTCAGTTCTTCAGCTATGATATTGTTTTTTTCTGGAATGAACTTATTTGATCTTATGTCCTCCAAGTTTCTTTCGATGAAGCATTATTAAATTGGTATATAAAATATGCTCTTTTTTTCCTCATAATGGCCTGATTGGTATGATTTCGCATTTATCTATAAAAGTCCAAATGTCTCTGTAACTTAGTTCTCCTAAATCTCCTCAAAGCTTTATCTCGTTCATTCATCATAATTTTAATAACATCTGTTAACCATGGTGCTTTTGCTTTAGTGACTCTTATTGATGAAATTATAGGTATATGTCTATCAAACAGTTGATTCAAACAATTAACAAGATACGATAACTCCTCATTCACAGTCTCTTGGTCGAAAATTCTGAAAAAAAAGAGGTATTGAATAATTCTATTTGAATGAAATTTTCCTGTATGTACACATCTTTTGTTCCCCTGAGCTACCACACTGAGAAAACTCGGCCAAGTAAATCGTTTTCTTGAAAAAAAGTCGATTGTGACAAGAACATTTTCACCAACGGTAGAAAAATAAGGTATTTGAAGTAGGCAAAACAATATTGCTGCAACAATG